CTTTGTTCACTGCTCCTGGGGGTCTCTCACTCGGTAGAATTTTACAGCTGCATTTCTGATTCAACCAGTAGATCATTTTGCTCTATCTTGATGTCTATCTCAATTTCACACAGAAAAGGAACAAGAAATCCCATGTGGTTTCAACCCTAGACGTCTGTGGGGAGGCTTCCCATCTCATGGGTTCCTGGAGAAGGTGAGACTGACTTTGGCAGAGTGTTCCATGGTACAGATGCGGTCTTCATGGGTAATGTTATCATAGGTTGTAATTATCAATACTATTCTGATTATCCTTTTGAAAAATTGCAATCTCATTTTAAAATATATCTGCTATTAAAAACTTCTCATTTGTAATTAAAACCTACAATTTTCCTTTACTTTTTTAGACTGTGACTATTAAACACAACACAGTTACAAAAAACTATGGACAGAGGTGTTAATTTGCTAAGTTTGCTCCTCTTCCCTTCTGGACCATGCTTCTTCTTGTATCCTTGAGCAGAACCGCCAGGGAGACAATGAATCTGAGCAGAAATTTCCATGGAATAAGAACCCTATTCATGTATGATGCAGAATTCTGACGACTCACTGAGAATCTAGGAGACGGCTAAGATATTCAGGACTGTGTGCAAGGCCAGGCCTGTTGTCTATTTCAAAAGGTGATTTATAGGAACAAGATACTGAGTGTGTGAACTGACATGAGTGAGAGGAACATCGGGTATAAGTTACAGTTTCCTGACCAGGATTCTCTTGTGTTTGCAGGGGTCCAGTGTGAGGTACAGCTGGTGGGGTCTGATGGTGGACTGATGCTGCCTGGGGTATCACTGAGACTCTGTTTTGATTACTGCAATTACTGCCCTGCGAGATTTGGTGATTATTACATTATTGAGTTGACCAGGCCTCTGAGCAGGGCTGGAGAGGATGGCTGTTATTAGAAATAAAGCTAATATTTATACCACAGAATACAATGCATCAGTGAAAGGCAAATTCACCATCCTCACAAACAGTGACAAGAATAAGCTGCATCTGCAGATAAATAACCTCAGGAAAGAGGGAAGTCCCATGTATTACAGCATGAAAGACACAGTGAGTGGACTTGAGGTTGACCTCTGGCTCTCAGGAAAGGGACCTCTCCCTGTGGCTTTATGTGTTTGAAAGATGGCAGTGATCCTTGCACCTGGGTGCCCTGACCCTTGTGAAGCTTCAAATCCTGGTCCATCAGGGTTCAGACAAGTTCATGAGTGGACCATTGTCACATTGGGTGATGGAAGATAACCTACACCCTAGGTATTAAACCAGAGCCCGTATTAACAGAGACACATTACCATACCACTGAGCATCCTAACATCAAAGGACACTCTCATGGATGTTTTCTATGTGCAACAAGGTCAGGGGACATCAATGTGAGCATCATATAAACTCTCATGCAGGGATGATCAGAACACAAGTTGGCACTCAGAACACACAAAGGTCAATGGAACATTTTTACACTCGGTGGTTTATTCCTCCTGTCTAGCAACTCCTCTAAGTAACCTCCACTGTGCTCATTTTACTTAACTTTTACATATTATTTTCTTAACATATTTTTATTTTCTATTTGAATCTAATTCTTTGTTGCTGTTATCCTATGAGCAATATGTATGAACACGACTCAACCAAATTCTCTGTGTGTGTGAATTAGGCTGGCTCATTGTCCCTAATGTTCAGGATATGTTAAATCATTTATAAATGTTTTTTTCTTTATCTGCATACATAAAAAAGGGACAGCATCCTTGCTTGTTCAAAGTACCACCTCCCAAACAAGGAAAATCCTGTAAATTGTAAACTGCCCTGGATTTCTGATGCCAGAGTGTTGAGGCTTTGTGTATAAAATCAAACCTCATGAATTTCATACATGGAAAATTACTTGTGCATTAAAATATACTTCATTTCCAAGCTTGATATGTGATGTTTATGCAGTTATCAAGGGAAATTTGACACAGTGATTAAAATATTAGAGTTGCAAAGTTTTCACTGTCTGGTCCCAAGTTGAACAAATTTTTATTTTGTTTTGTTATCCCTCTTATTTCCCTCACTTAAGATAATGTACTATTCGTGGGGGAATGTACTGCTACTTTTTCAAAGTTTGAGACCAATTATTGGTTATTTCAATTATTACAATGACCTCCAAGACTGTTCCCATAGTAGTCTCCTGTGTCTCTGACTGTAAGGTTGTTGGAGTGTGCCTTACAGAAAAAATAGTATGTTATAGAAGTTTCACTTAGGTATGGTTTCCAGTGATGCTGGTCCTGTGGAGAGTGTTAATAAGTAAACAATATGATACATTCAGAAAATGAAAACCAAAAGCAACAATTTCCCAACTGATCCTGAAGTTGCTTTTAAAAGTGTGAAATTAAAAGAAATCTTGCATCATGAAAATATGGAGAAGATTAAAGCACAACTTGATTGTGGGGTTCCTTAGATCAGCACCAACAAATGCAGTGTAGTTTCAGAGAAAACTCTCTGGCAAATAATAACCAGAATATTGTAATTTTTAGTAGGTCACTATTGAGCTTTCTGTACATGGCAAGTATGTGCCAGACTACAACGAACACAGCTATCCTCTTCATGGTCTGACAGTGCTTCTCTGAGATCTTCAGATGTTCTGATGAAGACAAGTTCAGAGTTTAACATACATGCAGCTCATTGCTACATCTGCTTTTCTTATGCCTTTTCAGGGACCTGCAACAACTTCAATCTGTATGACATAGGAGCTTGGTAGGTGGGGAGTGGCAACTTCTGATAACTGTAGCTACCCAGAGGCTGAACAGCATTCTATATGGAACTCCTAATAAACTCATTTGTTCATAATGCTGGTTTTGTTTGAGTTACTCTTTAGAGTCTGTCTCTGATATGGCCATACTAATTTGGAAGCATGTATATCTTTTAGACCTCCATGGGAATTAACACACCCGTGGTGAATAACATCTAGTGAAGCTGAAAGCCAGAGTTTCACAGTCATATTACATGAGCAAAGGTTAATGTTCAACTCTATGTGGCTAGACAGGATCCACAGATTTCAAGGGGTTAAACTGGATGAAGATAATGCATGCCGTTCAGGAATGTTCAGGATAGTATTTGCAAGATTACTATGTGAAGGATTTTGAATGGCCTCAGCAAAATAAAGTTAATTATAAACCCCTGTGTGTGTAATTGCTCCAATTTGTTCTTTGTGTGATGTATACATACTGGAAAATCACATGGAGTCCACTGATGTGCCCATATATTATACAATCATTACAGTTAAATGAAGTGTGAAATATTAATAACAATAAATGAGACAGGCATCGTGTCCAATGTATTGTGTGACAGTTGTTCACTTCTAATATAATTGATAGACTGAAAAGTTCTTAGGACCATTGCCTGCTTACAAAATTCAGTGCTGATACACTGACACAAATATACGTTTGTATATTTGTGTATACATTTGTGTATATTTGTGTATATTTGTGTATTTTTGACACAAAAATACATTTTGGCTCAACTAAAATCAAAACAAAACACCCCTTTAGTCAGGACCTCACAAGCCTACTCTTAATCCCCTTCATATCCCACCATTCACATAGCACTTGGAGGTTCTGGCCAGCTCAGCCAGAGGAGTAAATCAAGTGCAAGAAAGCATAATGAACTCTAAATAACGTTGAGGTTCCATATGGTAAGTATATGAACCTGCACAGTGGGCATTTATTATAATTATATATTACTATGTTCTGTGTACAAATGTATGTATCTTTATTTTATAGACCTGGTAGTGCATTGAGTTTATTTATACCAGAATCACCTCAAGTATCCAGCCATAGGTATTGCTATGACACCATTACAGCTACAGGATCAACAGGTCATAGAGTCCTTTCTGACCGATTATCTAAGTTACCCTGGCCATATATGTGGGCTGTCAGCTTCACCATAATTTCTACCCTGTCTGATCAGGATTTTAGTAGATACATCAATAATAAAGGAAATTCTGATCGCGTCTCATGTGGGAATTAGGAACAGTGTATTGGAAACTGAGGACAGAGCATCATCATACATCTACTTGCTGAAGAGACCACACTTACCTCCCTTTACTCTTCAGTTAAACATCAGGCTTCTACACCTTATCTGCCTCTGACCAATAGAAACAATGTGGATTAGTATTTCATTAATGTGAAGATTACTAGGTGCTCTCTTCCTCAGTGAGGTTGCTACAAAAGAACAACACATGTCATTAGGAAAGAGTGACAGGCATGTAGACAATGACAGAAAATGACAGAGACTCATTAACATGCATCTGTATGAACCCTGGTTCTTTATGTTTTCTATCACTAAACACTAAAATGAACTAAAGTCACAGCTGTTTCACTGCAGGTAGGGGTTCATCAAACCTCACCAGGCAGGTCCACTATGTTCCAGATCTGGACCAAAGGCAGTGGGTTCAGCATTAAGGAGAGGAGGCACAGACACTGTTACAAGATTGGAGATTATGCACACATAGCACTCAGGGAATATTTTTGTACTGTCTCTCTCTTCTATAGAGGAGAAGAGACATGAACCCACAGATAATACGTGCAGAAAAATAAAAGAAAATCAAGGGTTCTAAACATAACAAGGCACATTCATTCAGTAAGAAAACATATTTTCTGGTATGCCGTCATTGTCACAAAAGTTCCCCTTTTGTCCATGAACAAGAAAAAATATTATAATGTAATTATATAACATGACACCTTCAAAAAGTGAAATGCCATATTTTCTTTTATGCCACCATTGTCATGAATATCTAATGGGGACACCCACAACTGATTTGGTCACTACCATCTCTGAGATTTCCACCCAGAACTTGCTATATAGTAGAGGGACATGGAAATAGGGCTGCCCTCTGCTCATGAAAACCAGACCAGCTCTCACTCTGCAGCTGTGGGAGAGGAGCCCAGCCCTGGATTCCCAGCTGATTCCATTCAGTGATGATCACTGAACACAGACCACTCACCATGGAGTTGGGGCTGATCTGGAATTTCCTTGTTGCTTTTTTAAAAGGTGATTTATGCAGAACTAGAGATACTGGGTATGTGAGAGGACATAATCAGAGGAATAGTGGATGGGTAATTTTGACAGTTTCCTAACCAGGATTCTCTGTGTTTGCAGGTGTCCAGTGTGAGGTGCAGCTGGTGGAGTCTTGGGGAGGCTTGGTGCAGCCTGGAGGGACCCTGAAACTCTCCAGTGCAGCCTCTGGATTCACTTTCAGTGATTACTGTATGCACTGGGTCCATGAGGCTCCAGGGAAAGGGCTGGAGTGGGTTGGAAAAATTAACCCCAGAGGTGATAACACATACTACACAGATGCAGTGAAGGGGAGATTCACCGTCTCCAGAGACAATGCCAAGTGCCAGGTGTATCTGCAAATGAAAAGGCTGGAAGCAGAGGACCCAGCTGTGTATTACTGTGCAAGACACAGTGAGGGAATTTCAGTGTCAGCCTGGACACAAACCTCCTCTCAGGGACACTCAACACCAGCAGAGGGCACTTTGGACAAGCAGGAGTCACTCAGCACACAAGGAGCTCAGGTAAGCCTCAGGCCAGGTGCAGACATGAGTCAATGACTGGTCTCCTTTGTGTCTTGGCTGCCTCTCTGTTTGAAAGGTTCCCCAGAGAAACCTTTTAGATTTCTTACCTCTACTAACATGTTATGTCTCTGGATATAAAGAGTTCTATTTTATTACAATTTTTAAATACATAAGACATATTCTCACAAAATAAAATGCATAACATCACATTCAGGGGCAGACCTGACAGGTGTGGTCATTGGGTCAGCTCCAGCAGTGGCTCAGGGGTTCCTGGTAAGAATGTTTCTATGACAGCACAGAGACTTGTGGGATTCTTTGATTAGGATGACATTAGAATCCAGGTTTTAAAAAAAAGGAATTGGACACTACTGTCAGTGATGAATAAAACCTGACAGGACTCACTCTTCCCCTCCTGTTTTGAACTAAACACAATGAGTTCAGACTTGACTCTTTTGTATTACTTTAGTTAATTTATAATTTACTCAGTATTTACCTTTTGTAGATTTCCCATTTGTCTTTGTTCAATGAGAAAATGCTTCTTGTGACCCTGACATCTGAGTCCTAATACCCTGACACCTATCTAGAGTTTTGTTTTTCTCAGGTTGTGTCTGCTGCAGACCCCTGGAAAAGGCTCATGAGAACTCTCAGTATTCACAGTCAATGGACGCCTGCTATCCTCTGAGCAAGGACTCTTGTGTGAACTGGACATGGTCAATATTAACCCATAAGTCAGACTGAGAAACAAAATGTGATTTTGACTTTTCTATTTTCAGTGTGTCACAGAGTCCCCTCCATCCACTATGGCCATGTGGAGACCAGGAAATGTGACACTCATTTGTGTTTTGAGTTCTGGGGACAGGGTCTATGACTCTGTTGTTCCCTGTCATTGTGGCTCTGCTATGATGCCTGTCAGGTGATCTTTTTATTCTAGGGATGACTTATTGTTTTAAGGGTTTGAACGTAGCATGAGCATGCAGGTCAGGTCACCCTTTGTCACCAGGAGTCCCCAGAAATACAATTATACTGCTTCATGCATGTCCAACACTATATAGAAGCATGGAGGTCAGTACAATAGTGGAGGGGGGATGACACAAGGGTATTGTGTGAAGGAGAAAAGTGTCCATCCCACAAACACAGCCAGTCAGAGTGAACATTAGATAAAAACAGCAGAGACCATATTCACCCTGATCATCAAAACCCAGTATCTTGCTTCCCTGTCTTATGTGGACTCCACAGGCCAAGAGTTATGTGCTTTGCTGCGAAGTCTGTGCATGTCTATAAGGAGAAAGACTCAGATCTGGTTCAGCCCACTGATGAAAGAAGCTTATCTCCTATCCCTGCAGATCCTGGTGAGGGGCATCCCAATTCTGTGTTTTTTCTCAATGTCAACACCATGTTGCTTGTGCTGTCCTGGTCTTCCATTCTTATTACTCTCAAAACAGAGGGATGTATATGAGGCATTTCTATTGTTCTGGGCTTGAAGTTTTAGCACTTGTTTGCTAGATTTAAAGCTCAAGAACTGTGTGTGTTTGTTCCTCTAGTTCTTGAACCCTCAGAGGCTCCCTTGGGCTCTAGTGAACAGGGTTGCAGTCCTCACTATCTGAATTCCACATCCACCTGTTTCCAGTTTCTCATCTTCCCCAGCCTCAGTTTCTTACCCTCTAAACCTTCTCAATCTTTTTACTGCTTTCATAACTTCTTCCAGATTCTGTGTCACTCTGTGACTCTTATTCCAACTTCTAGTTTTACACCCTAGAGCCTCAGGTATCACAGCCCTCAGATCTTGGTGTTCTCTAGAACTTTTAGCTGTTTCTTGAGGATACCTGTGTAACCACAGGGATCATGTCCTCATCTCCTTCTATTCACAACTGATGCCAGTACAGGGATGAGTCTCTCAAACGTGATGATGATTGGATTTACAATAAGTTTGACAAACAAGTGTCAATGTTGAGAGCTAAGGTGTTATCACTATATGCATGTTATCAATTATAAATGGTTTACAACATCAGGATCTATGGTAAGATGAACATTTTTAGTTCATTATTTTCATATAAAGATCTAGAGTGGAGGCTCATTGTACATTGAACATGATCCCATAGTATATGCACAGTGGTCAACAGGGATGGGGCATTTGAGGCAGATTGACTTTCTTGTCCCCATATACTTGGAATCACCTTTCTTTAAAGTACAGGAGTGACAACATTTTATCCAGTCCCTGTTGGTCCTGATGGATCCTTGTTAATAGTGGATGTCATAGAGTATAACAAAGTTTGAGAACTTTTTCATCAATAGAACATGACAATATAGCAACACCTGAGGGCAATGGAAACACACTATAGATGCAAGGACAGGGACAGGAATGAGGCATGTTGCTGGAGTCATCCTTGAAGAAGCAGAACCAGAGCTTGAGCTCCTGTGGGAGTTGCAATGCATACAAGGAAGTGAGAAGGGGCTTGTAGGATGGGAGCCATCAATTCAGGAAGATGGGGATGCCATTGATGTTTCAATTATATGTCTATCAATAGGGAAGACTGGCCTTGGGCATGGAAACTCAGCTCCTGGGCATCACTCCCCAGCCAGTAGGTTACTTAAGCATAGAGTTAGATCAGGTAACCAAAGGATGGCCAGGATGCCATAGAGCAATGGCTGCAGTAAGCCTTCTAGTGCCTGAAGCTCAAAAATTTATCCTAAACTGCCCTCTAACAGTTTATAGCCCATGCAATTTAGGGGGAGTTTTAAACTCAAAAGGAGAACTTTGGCTATCTGACAGCTGTCTACTTAATTACCAAGCCCAGCTTCTGCGAGGGACAGAACTATAAATTTAAGAACCTTTTGGAGCCTAAATCTTGCAACCCTTCTACCAGAAGCAGAGGGAAATCCTGAGCACTCGTGTGAGGTGATACTTATAGAAAATTATGCTGACTGAGTAGACTTAACTGATCAGCCCTTAAAAAACTCAGATCTAGAATTATACAATGATGGAAGTCCCTTTCTCAAGAATGGTGTCAAACATGCAGGGATTGCAGTTGTGACAGGATTTGGCATCCTCAAATCAGGTCCTCTTCCTCCAAATACAAGTGCTCAATTGGCATAATTAGTGGCCCTGACAGAAGCCCTAAGACTGTCAAAAGAACAGAGAGTAAACATCTATACAGATTCTAAGTATGCCTTCCTGACCCTGCATGCTTATGTAGCCATCTGGAAGGAAAGAGGAATGTTAACTACAACAGGCTCTCCCATTAAACATGCTCGTGACATACTAGCTCTCCAAGAAGCTGTTTTATTGCCTAAAGAGATCTCGGTGATTCATTGTAAAGGTCACCAAAAAGGGGAAGATAAGATGGCAAAGGGAAACAAAACTGCCGATGAGGCAGCTAAACATGCAGCCATGCAGGAATATATAGCTGGCCCTGCCCTCTGGGAGAGGACTTTGCCTTCCCTCAGTGAGACCACATTATTGGTATGAGGAAAATAAGCAAGCCTCAGACCAAGGGTAGCAGTTAGATCATCAAGACTGGTGGGTGTCCTCCAGAGGAAAGTTATGGCTCTCTGAGGCACTCAATGGAAAATTCTTCAGACTCCACGAACTCTACCACTTGGGCTTAGACAATACTTTGGTTTTGGTCAACAAAATGTTTGGGGGAACTAAATTAAGGAACAGAGCCCAGCAAGTTGCACAGGGATGTGAAACATGTCAAAAAATCCCAATAATAAAAGACTACAGATGCCAGAAGCACAGAAACAGAGATCCTATCCTGGGGAAGATTGGCAACTAGACTTTTCCCATATGCCAAGGGGACCAAAGTCAAAACTACTGTTAGTATTTGTGGTTACATTCACTGGATGGGTGGAGGCTTTTCCTTGCAGTACCGAACGTGATAGGGAGGTGGTCCAAGTTCTAATCACAGAAATAATCTTTTGCTTTAGCCTCCACAAAAGCCTTCAAAGTGATAATGGGCCTGCATTTAATGCAGAAGTAACTCAGGGACTCTCTAGAGCACTAAGCATAAAATGCCACCTCCACTGTGCCTGTCGTCCCCAGTCATCTGGAAAGGTAGAAAAAACAAATGAACTTTTAAAAAGACACCTGGCTAAATTGGCCCAAGAAACCCACTCCCCCTGGACCAAGATCTTCCCTCCTACTTTCTCATCAGGCTCAGAAACACTCCAGGCAAGCAGGGACTGAGCCCTTTTGAATCTCTATATGGCAGGCAATTCCTAACCAATGACCTCCTTCTTGACAAAGAGTCAGGTCAGTTAATTTCCCATGTCACTCAACTTCTAAATTCCAACATGCACTATCAGAGATCAAACAAGCCACCCCCAGAGAGGATATAAGGGGTCATTATTCTTCCTGTGTTTCTGCATAGGGTTCCTGTCCCATGTCACTCTGAAATAGTCTGTCCCTGGGCTGGTTCCACTCTTCCAGTCTCTCAGGCTGACCTGCTCCTTCTCTGGCTTCTCTCTGAGTTTCACTGGTTTGTTACCTCAGCCCAGCAGCACCAAGAAAAGGCCAAGGAGTTGTGAGCTCACTTTGATTGGATGATGATAAGTACTCCAGCACAGCCATGAAGTCCTCACTCACCAACTCCAAGAACAGTTCCTACAAAAAGGTGTTCCTCACAATGACAAGCATGAATCCTGCAGACACAGACACCTATTCCTGTGCTAAGGCATCATGGTGACAGCCCCAGGTGTTTCCTGCAGAAGATCTCTGGCAGGAACCTTAACTCCTCTCCTTCCTCTGTGCAACAGTAAAATAAAGAGGATGTGCCCTTTCTTTCAGCCTCTGGGGTTCTCTATTCATCCTAGGGCCTTACAGTCCTGTCCTTCTGTGCTATTCTAAGACTAAACGACAGGTCTCTTGGGAATTGTATAAATGAGTTACTGTGTTTTTTTAAACAATGGCACAAGATGAAAGTTGCATGGTACCTATAGGCCCAATGGACCAGTTTTATAGTGCAACCCACTGCACAGGCTCACATTTGCACAGTAGTAGGAGAACACGAATCTTTACAAGGTTTGTCTTGATAGAACTTCGGGGTATGGAGTGAGACAAACATTAGTGGATCAGAATCCACTAATGCAGATATCATATTTTCTTTTAAGAGAGGAATTTCTATAATTCTAGATCATCTAAAAATTTTATGAATTGATAATACAAAATTGATATCTTGCACACAAGGAGGATCTGAGAGAATTGGTATGCAAGTGAATCTGGAGATTCTATTGGATCTGCTCATCACAAAGCTTATGTACAGGAGAGAGGTAGCAGCTCATAGAAGCCAGAATCCTGACACCGGGAAAGTGCCATGTGAGATCCTAATGTCAGAAAAGCAACTCATTTGATAATGATTACTAATTCAATCCTATATAGGATTTGGTACTAGCAATAGAGGGAAGGTATGGGGAGCTGATATAAGAGGGTGAATATGGTGCAAAGATTGTACCCACATGTATGACAATAGAAAAATGAGACGTGTTGAAAATGTTCCAGGAATATGGGAGGAAGTATAAAGAAGGATGGAGGGGGTAATTCAAATATGATATACTGTAAGACCTTTTGTAAATGTGATCACATACCCCAAGCCTAACAATAACAAAATAGAAAATATTAAGAAAAACCTGGGTTACATACTAATTGAAAAAGGCCAGAAAAACAGGGGCTAGCACTGCACAGTCTCAATAACAACTAGAATACAAAAGGTTGAACTCATAAAGCAATGGAATGGTGATTACCACAGGTTGGGATGGGGAAAAGCAGGTCACAGTGTACAATGCTTCAAGCTGATAGCATTAATAATTTCTAGAGTAATATGTTGCAGCATGGTGACTATAGTTAATTCTGTCACCAAAAAATGATAACTA